GTTGAATGATACTTCATCAATATTGTGCTCATCTCTGAGGATGGCAAGCTGGGTTCTGTCATGTGAATCATCTATCCAACTCAGCATCTCTTCCACTTGACTCAGCATTGATTTCAGCTCCGCAAATTTCCATGTTTTGTAGATCTTGGTTGGACTGAAGGCATCTAGTAGCACATACACGAGACCTTGTACAGCACAAGGAGTTCTGTCTTCCCTTGCTGGTGTCTTTCTTGTAATTATTTATGGCAATGCCTTATTACCCTATCATTATGCTTGGTGGCATACATAAACAGAGAACTTTGTTTTTCAAACAGTAAGAAAAAACAGTTTTCAAGATGAAATAAGAAGGGCTTGTTTTTTTTTTACTTTCTTAGGACTAGAGATTGTTTTAGTTGTTTAACAGAATTGTTTCCGTCCTGCAGTACTTCAGTTGTCCAGAATGGATTGTTAATTTGCAAGACCTGATCAGTAAGATCGTGATCTGAGTGAGCAGAGGCAGTGGGGGTTACACCAGTTATGCAAACCTCGAAGGAACATCTTGGCTGAAAGTATGTATTCATTTTTGCCCCTAACTCTTACTTTTTTTTTTTCTTTTTTTGCTTTGGACCAACTAATTCCAAAGGGATATCTTTCTTGGAAATCTATTCCACTAACTGTTCTCTCATAAGTGTTGGCAGAATGTCTTTTTCTCCTGTTCAGCTTCCTCTTAATTATTAGATTAAATGCTAATAGACCATAAGTTTAGCTCAAAACGTGCTATTCATTAAAAGAATCAGAGTCTCCATGGCAGGGAATAATAATTTTACTACCACTGCAGTGTTGGAAGCATAGCATTGAAAAGAAAAATAGCAGAAAATCCTTATAAAACATTACTGGTGATTTTTTGTGGGAGCAAATAAGTACATGCAGTAGAGTGATCAACAAGAAATAAAGTGTAAGATATAATTCAGAGATTGATAAAAAAATTATTTTATACATTCTTTCTCTGATATTTTTATAAACCTGAAAATTAAAAACACTTGCTGCCTCTGTGCTAAAAAACAACCAACCAATCCACCCAAACGAACAAAATAAAACAAAACAAAACAAAATTACTGAATGGTTAGCTCCCCTCTCCATTTTTTTCTTCAATTTGTTTTTGATTACAATCTCCAGGGCTGGGTACTCTTCCTTCCTATATATATACACACACACACACTACCTCAATCAGCTCTGTGCTTATCACCAAGGATGCACAGACCAGTACTGATATGAGAGGAGATGCAGGACATTAATTTTCAATTGGTCTGGGATTACCTAAATTGCTGAAGAGAGTGAGGAACCTACACTGCCAGAAACTTTCCTACTCCTGTTTTTACCCTCAGAAACACTCAGCCAGACATTTATGGGGAGAAACAGAGTTTTCCAAATAGATGCTATTCTTCAATCCATAGCTAATTTAAATTAAAGTGAAAGAAGTATGGACTAGGCATTTGAATTTCAGTGTTCTTCCAGATAAGTTTGCAGTTAAGTTCATGTTTTTAACAATATGATGCTTGGTAAGTACAGATGCTTACCGCATGTATTTTTATAAATAAAACAGGATCTTGTTTCCTCTGGACCTCTTGTGGTGCCTGTAAAGTCCTAAAGACAGAATTACTAATTCTTCCTGCTTTTTCAGTTTCAAAGTGTCTGCAATAATATGAGGACTGTGCTGCAGCCCACAGAGCCATTTTTAAAGCATGAAATCAGCCTCTGTGTCTGCTGTCTCTGAAATCACACACAAACTTTGCCTAGAAAGTGACAGACGATACAGTCCAGAGCCATGCCAGCAAGTATGTGAACAGTCTGGATCATCAATTATCAAGTATTCAGGTTTGCTCTCTGAGCCTGTTTTATTTGTCAGTATAAGCAGAGCAACAATATCCTGACCTGAAAACACTCACTGATATATATGATTTTACTCCTATAAATTGTGTGAGTATCCGAGTATATCGATGGCTACTGATTCCAATTCAAACTTTCAGGTTTTGTTCCATTCACAGGCGTACGCCCTGCTAAGCACTGTTTGGGTGTTTCTATGGCAGCTACTTCAGTCCCTCTGGGCCCAGCGCTGCAGCCTGGGTGAATCACAAGGAACTTTTCCATCAGTCTGATGGAAACAATTCTTGATATGCAGTTAGTTACTAGATAATACGTGAATAGAAGGTGAAATGATTCCTCCCAATTGCTACACTGGTATTATTTCAGGACTGAGGTCTTAAGCCACACTGTAAAGATGCTAGAATTTAAACACATCAGGACCAATTAGTTAATCTAAGTCACAGATTGAATTAATACGATATTTTGAACGCATGATTCTTCATACCATCTATCATCATATCACTTGTATATTTCTTTTTTTTTAAATTTTAAAGCATCCAGAGATAATGCAAAGAATGAAAGCTGTATTTCTTTATTTAACATATATATACAGGTGTGTAGGCAGGTACTATGTGGACATCTACACACACTCTAATTTGAATATATTTTGTCCTCAGAAATGTCACTTTGATAAATCTTTCTTTGCATGCCTACTTTTTCTTAACACTGTTTGATGCGTTTACTTTTTGCATTGTTCCTAGTCATCCAATCAAAAGTATACACCTGCAAAAGGCTTTGCTGAGAGGCAGTCACATATTGTGATCCACAATCAAAGCACGATAGGAAGCCAAATTATATTGCTGTGACATCTGTCCATCCATCTGCTGTAGTTTCCATAATCTACTAAAGCCAATCTACATATTATATTGATGTTTAACCTTATTGAAAATCAAGAATAAAATCAAGAAGAACTTGCAACAGGCTAAGAAAAATTGTGACATGGACATAAAAAAAAATTAATTTTAAGTGTACAGAAATTAAAATAGAACTAAGTTATGTTCCATGTTTTCTGTGCAGTAAATTGAGCAAAATTATTTCAGATACTGCATTGTACACGATACATCCATGATATGGATGTTAGCACTCTTATTTGAGAAGAAATAACATGAAAAAGAAATGACAGCACTAGTCAGTAGCTACATGCTTTTGTTTACTGAAGATACCTTAAGCACTTAACATTAAGTTAAATATTCCAATTCTTTAATCTCCAATATTTTATTCTAACGCTTGCTTTTATTTATGAAACTGTATTGTGTGTTGAAAAGAACATGTTCCTATTTCATTTAAATTAGTTTGAACAATTATAATTGTGTTGCTTATGTCACCAAATACAAAAGTTTATCAGTTACTGCACATGAGTAGTAGTTATAACAACTTTGTGTGGTAGCATGCCAACACGTCGCTTTCAGAATCCCGAAAGCTATAATCTTATTAATGCATGACCATTTGGGATATGAGTATTACTGGAAGGAGATCTCCTTTCAGTGTAGTTTCCTCTGGAGAGGGAAACCCAAGAGCAGGAAATAATCCCATACTGTCTGAACTGCCACACATATTTCTGTTGGACAAGAACCAAATCCCATTGTAGAGAAGCCAACACCACCACGATAGTACCACCATTCCCTCTAGGGGAATGCGCTGGGAAAATCAAGCCCTATATTGGAAGACGGTTGAAAATAAAGCACAGGAAATAACAAAGACAACAATATAAAATATTACCACTTGTCAAATATATTTATGAGAATAAGCTATGATGAAGCCTGTTTTTAATTTCTTTGCAGATCTGCATGTGGTTTTGTCTTAATGCACATTTCCTAGCTCTCAACTTGAAAAAAACGCAAATCCTATTTTTACTTCTGCCATATGTAATAGCAGAATTTTGCCACAGGGTGGTACACCAGACATGTTTAACTGAAGGCTTTTGTAATGCATCAGACAGCTCGGTTATGCCCTCTGCCAGCTTCACTCCACCAGTAGCAGAACAATCTGGAGATCTCAGAACAACTGGCCATGAGCCAAAGACATGTATATTCAAAAAATAAGACAGAAAAAACAGAAGGAACTACGAATCTACTTGCAAATGCTAATAACGTGATGATATTAATTCTACAATTAAAATTTTACAAGATATTACAATTCGACGGGTTTTTATTTTTAAAGAATACATTTTTGTTTTATCTTAATAACTAGAAAAATAGATCAAACTATATGAGAAGAAGTTACATTCTCAGCCAATAAACTTTAAGTTTAGGTTTTGTCTTGGAGAGAAACTGTACCGTGTCAATTGTGAGAGAAAAAATAACAACTTCTGGCATTCAAACATTTCCTTTTCCAACGAGAATAAAAATTAACACCTAAAATACTAACTAAGCTTTTTTATTGTTTTCCTACTTACATTAAAATCTTTTATGAGTGTACTCTGTAATTTTAATTACCGTTTTCTTCCTATAAACTAACCTCAACATGTCTTCCTTGCCACTATTCACTTTTTCGATTAAATAAATGAGGTTTGTAAACTTTACACTTACCTTTTCTAGGCAAGAGGGATACTCAGGAATTAACATAAGCAGAAACTGTTTCCTTGGGTACTACGATCTTTAAAAAAATGTTAGGTAAGAAATATAGATTCCTACACTGATTCATGGCTGAAGATCTGGCCATGGATTTAAGTGATACTGTGGAATTCAAAAGTAAATCTAATTACACAGTGGTATTGATATAAATAGGCAGAGAAGCAGACCTCAGTTTGGAATTGGAATGTGATCATTTAGTAATGCAATAATAATTGAAATTCCTTTCACAAAGCTTTTCAGAACTCAGCAGTGTATGATGAGACACAAAAGTAGACCTTTTCTAAGACACATTTAGCAGTACTGACTCTCTCTTATAGTCAACTAATACTTCTTTATGCATCTTAGAAAATCTCCTAAGATCTGTCCTCTAGGTTTACTTCTTTCAGTCTAGAGCAGGGCTCCTTTTCACATCCAGTGAAATCAAAGATGTTTTTTCTGTCTCAGAAGAGTTAATGATATTTTGCCATTTTCAGTCATTGTGCAGGATTATATAAAGTAGAAAGGCAGTCACGTCATGGAACCTACCTCTTCCGCACGATTTGCCAAGGTACCCTGTACCAGAGCAATCACAGACATATCTGTTCCACCCATCCCTGCATACACCATTGTTTTTACACGGGTTGCTAAGGCAAGGTTTTGCAGTTTCTCTTGAGCATGAGGGTTTTACTCCAGCTGTACTTTGAATTTCAGCCATCTGTCGAATATCTTTGCTTTGACCATCAATAAATAAATCTCTAATGCAGCCGACGTATCCGTAATTGAGAAGCGCTGTCCACACCTCTGTTGGGAAGACCAGGCCTGCTTTATTTTCTGGTAAGCCTCCAAGATACAAGTCATCATCCAAGTCAAGGATTTCACTTTCCCCTGGCGCAGTATATGGTGTACGCAATGTGTTCACAGATATGGTCCCTGAGAAGAAAAGACAACAAAAAGCGTGATATTCAAGATATTGAAAAGCTTTTGGTACTGTTGTTTTACTCATTAATCTACATGTCTTATTAGCTCCTGGCAAATATCTATAAACGAAACATAGGTATTATATTTGCACAGCTAAACAATAATAGATACACTTCTTTATTTCAATTACAAAGCAGTACGAATACTGTACTGTATTCAAGAAATGAACGATGTAAAAATACTTATGCACAGTACTGCATGGTCACAATATAAAAAAAAGTCAAAATCACCTTACCAATCTTGTAGGGGCAGAGGGGATGTATTTCAGAATTATTTTCAGAATTATCCTGCTTGTGCAACAAAAAAAATCTCTTCACTACCTCATATGTGCTTCAAAGCATTAAGGCTGAGGTTGCATTGATAGGTTGCAACCTGGAAGGCAAATCTTTAAAAGACTCTCGCCACTTTCAGCAAGCTTTGGATAAGACTTTTTTCCTTAAGTGCAGAAGGAAAATACTCTCATCAGCTGCCAGACAGGCAATCATTAAGAAGATAGTGATGTGCTCCTAGAAGGAAAATCAATGCCTCTGACACTTACCTCGAAATGTGTGCATGTTATGAAGAGAAGGAGAGAGGATGTATACAGAACCTCAGGAAACCAGAAATATCTTTTCCATTTAAAAAGTAAACAAACAAAATTAAGCTTAAAATAAAAGTCTGCTTCTATAAAGTGTTTGAACAAAGAAACCGTAATCAACTGTAAAGATCCCCTTTGTTGTACTTTCTTAGAAGTAACATGGTATCCAATTTTTACAATTTGAATAGGCAGAAAACCAAATTTAGTACATGGAATCACAGAATATGCTTATGTCAGCCCAATTTAATTATATTTACTATATAAAATGACTTGAAAAAAGAATCTTCATGTAGATCTTCACAGAAGCGACTCCTTACTATTCTATATGGGTGAAAAGTAAGCAAAATATAAATCAAAACATTATATAGGTCACCAGATTGTTATAATGTACCAGCCACATTATGCAACACTGTTATTCACTGGACACACTAAAGTGTATTAATGGTGACAAGGCACTGAAGAATCACGTTTACCACAACATATGTCATACATATATAATACATAAAACTAACATGATTTACTGCCTCCACTGTCAGCATGACAGAGGTTCCTGAAGATAACATTTATTATCAAAAACACTTCCGTTGTGGTGAGAGTGGTGCATGACAATAACAAATGCAGAGTTTTTTATACCATAAAATGTGAGTTTTAAGCAAACAGAGGCAGGTCAGAAAAAGATCATTCTCTTACTTAGGTACATCCTAAAATTTAGGCTTCTCTTAGCAGTGGAGTCCTGTAGGAGCTACATATTTTGTTTGTTGTTTTTGTCGATTCGATAGGTTAACTTCAACAACATGGACAGAATGAATATCTAAACAGTTTGGACCTTTAGTGAAAAGTCTTTGGGGTAGAGGTCTCAGGAGATCCAACTCCTGTATGAGACTTGAGACGTATAGATTTTAGAAGGGCTGAATATCACTACTACTACAATCAGTTTCCCTGCTATCAGAAGAGATCTAAAAAGATAAAGCAAAGGTTTGCATGGCCTTTCTGCATCTTTATGAGCATGTTTAAAGAATTTTGGAGGATGTGGTCAGTTATGCCTTTTATGTATTATCAGAAATGTTTTCTGTGTCAGTTGAATAATCACGGATTATTCACAGTGAACTTCCAGTCTCAACTGTATGAACCAGGCATGTTGAGCCAAGATCCTTTTTCTTCCAAACCTTCACCTTTTAAAAATTGATAAGACTTTTATATTTTGCTAACTCTAAACATCTGTATTGCTGCTCAGATTCTTGAAGCAAAACTTGGCACTCGTATGGAACACTTGCTATAGATTTGACCTTAGGCATACGAACATAAACATTCTGAGCTTTGATTTTATTAATCAGCTGCATCGAACAAGGACACCTGTGTATGATCTGTTAAACCAAGACAGCTAACTTTTCTGAGAGCATCCTAGATATCAAGAAGGACTGCTAAAAGGCAAAAGATCACTTCTCCTTTAAAAAAAAATTAAGGTGCTGTAAATATAAATCATGCTTGTGCTCACAGTATTTCTTACTGCTATTGTTGCTTGCTCCCACCTGTTGCTGTACAGGTTAATTTAGGATGAAATGCTTTAAACCTATGTTCAGGCAGCACTTGCACTCACACAAGTTAACTCAGCTGCAGCCTCCAACCTCAATCACAGGCATTTCCACAGTGCTATTTTGTACTGGACAAAGACATTTGTGTTTTCATGTTGTCCATGATGCTAGAAGACATCTAGGGCTCCATTTCTATTTAAAAAAAAAATATATCAACTAAGCCTTAATGGCTGTCAATGCACAGGAAAAGAAAGGTAAACCTCATCCAGTATAGCTGCAACATTAACATGGTGGTTCAAAAACGTAAATTTTGAAAGCACAGAAGGCTGAAAAAGGTGAATGATAAGGGGAACTACAAGTCATCACTGTGCTACGGTGACTGTGAATTATAGTTAGGTGATAGACTGAAGCAGGAAAATTTTCTGCTATATGTCATGAAGGATTACCCTAGAGAGAACTTAAGTATTATTTTGAATAGATATCAATAGCTTCTTAAAGAAATGAATCTTTCCTCTCTCCAAGAATGAAACACGTAAAATATTCCTTTGCAGAAGCCCTCTGAAATCTTAGTGTAATCATAGCATCTAATGACTACGGGTAGAAAAACATAAAAGGCAACAACACTTCTGTGCATCTTTTCCATATTTTGGAAGGCCATGGAACCCCTATTACCCATCTGGACTATCTCCCATTTACTGCTGGACATATCTATGACACTTCAGCTGACCTAGATACAGTGCGTATTACCCTTAATCAAACAACTATAAGTTACCTTTATTTCATTCTTTGTGTTGAGAGCTAAGCTGAGTCAAATAGCACCTGCAGAAGACTCAAAGATTTAATAATTCACTCTGGCTCAGCTGTTATGTAGGAGCTTGACCAAAATATCATATAACACACTGTCTAGAACAAGAACTATGGCTATAATACAAATAGGCTTTAGTCTAGCTAATAGCAGAAAACCCATGCTTGGGCACCAAGAGTTTCATGCTATCAGTTACCAAGTTATCCTAGTTTCTGGCTGAACTTCTAACAGCACGTCCAGGCAACCATACAACCACCACTGCTGTTGGTATCTGAATTACCTTTTATGTACCTCTGAAAGGCAATGTAAACTTTACTCGCTAATTGCTTTGTAAATGCAAGTGAAAAAGAATCCAAGAAAAATAAGGGGGAATGAAAGAAGACTTCCAAAAAACATCAGAAACTATGGTGGGTTTTTTAAATATCCTACAATAAAATGCAAAACTCAAGTTCATACAACATGGGCCTACAGAAAATAAATGGGTCTATAAACACCTTTGGATTCACAGTGCATGCAGATATGCAACACAGAGGTAGAATGTGCTGTTTAACCGAGCTGGATTTTTTTTGATTTTGTGGGGTTTTGCATGTGTTTTGTTGTTGTTGTTGTAGTTTAGTTTGTGTGTTGTTTATTTCTGTTTGTTTGCTTTTTTAAGTCTGTCATTATTCTTGAGGGAAAGTTTTCAAGATCTACTGAAACCATCTGAGGTTGGACCTGATGACAACAGCAGATGCTTCCACAGAATTCCCCTCTTTGCGAGATTTCAGTCCTACTTTCTCTGAGAATTATAGGCAGATTAAAAGAAATTGTTCTGTCAAATCACCAATATGCTTCAATCCATTTGGATGTTTCTGCTTACAAATGTGAAGGGACATCACTTTCTAGAAAAGCAGGAAGAAGGGAAGCTAATGGAGCATACAAACGTTGTATGTGGTCAGCACAGGAAAAAGTTAATAATTTGCCCTGTAAAGATAACATAGCATTGATCCTTCTCACACCAGAATTGTCAAGTTGGATAACTAATCCTGGTAACAGTTCGATGTTTTAGGGTGAATCAGTACTATAGTCAGTTTTCAAGAATGACAGGGTAAATAAAGTTGACCTGTCTTGATCATAGGTGATTCACCAGCTGGATTAATTTTTCTTTTCCATTTATATTTAACCATAAAAAGAAACGGGACAGATCTTATTTTACAAAATAACCTAAAGATGATAGAACATGGTGAGGAAGTGGCAGATTCAGAAGAATGTTAGTCTCTCAATGGAAAGACAAAACTATAACTTTAACTTGTAACACCTCTGTAGTAAGAACCATCCTTTCAATCATATCTTTGCATAGTATCTAGTAAAATAGCACCCATAACCAGATTAGTAGCAAACTATTTCTTTGAACAGAACAATACTGAGGCAATAATGTCTGCCAGGAAACAAGCAGCTTCTGTGCCACGTTTTTTGATAGACAAAGTAGGAAATATTGTCTGTATTTCTATGAGAAGAAGAAAGAAACGAGAAAAAGCTGATAGCATTTGGTTTGTCCAGCCTGAAAAAAGAAAAAGGGGAAGACTGAAAGACAAGAAGGTGTGGTGTGATTTATTTAGTCTGGGAATTCATGATCTAACTTCAGACTCTAAAAACAAGTAATATTTCTTATCTCCAGAAACTGGACATAAATTTAAGGGTCCTATAATGACCTATGGGTGCTTTGATTCTACAGCATTTCAACTGAAAGCAAAATGCAATTTAGATGTTCAGAAACATCTTTATGTATTGGAGGAACAGTGAGAAAAACTGATGAAATCATGATTTTCTGAAAGAATTATGGACTTAAAGTATAACTGATTAGTGGGCAGTACTCGAAAGGAAGATTCAACAATAACACACATATGAGCAAAATGGGAAATACACTGAGAGGCATAGAGAAGCCTTTACTGATTGTTGGTAAGGTTTATCTTGAATGCTGAGAAAGAGGCACATCATCTGAGAAGATTGCAGAAGATGGCAATAAAAATGGTCAATAGCTACAGAACATGACATATAA